ACGTTCCCTCCTAATTTTAACAAAGGCAGCAAATATCGCATCTTCACAGTATCATTTGAAAAGTAATAAAAATACACGGAGGACTTCTCTTTTTCTGAAGTAAATAAAGACAACAGTAGTATACCGCTGTCCTACAGTATGAAACAGGAAAGAACTAACAGAATAAGAAAAGCACTTATGTGAAGGGAAATCGATGGGTGTGTGGTGAAATACAATAGGTAAGCCATACTTCCAAATTATTAGAGGATTCAATTTGACAACATACCCTTTCCTCTTTCGGACCCGAAATCCGGGAACATTCAATATATATTATCCAAAAATTCGGATGTGTCGAATTTTACCGAGTTTAGTGCCTTACATTTATTTTATACTATCCGAAAGTGGATGATGTTGGGAAATTAAGGGTAACCATTTTATAAAAGCAGTAGGTTATCGCTTACCTCTGATGGAATTGTAATTTATTTTATCATTTTTTTATCACAATTTCTACATATATATTTTGCACTAACAAGCAGACAAAAGGTAAGAATATTAGTATATGCTAAACTAGCCGCCAGAGAAGATTCCATGGCAAAATTGGGTCTCAAAATAACGAGAAAATTCTCTCTCGAAGATCAACCGACAAAAATCACTTCGGCGTTATGATGCAGTAGGAAAGCGTCACAGCAAAAAATCAAAACAGCTATTCAAGACGTCATAACTATTTCAACTAGACTCTGGGTTGATACAATACATTAAGGCAATGTGTTCCTCTCTGCGTTCGTTCTAGGGTATAACGACGACTTCTTTCGGACGGTTGACGTTATGTGTCCGTATAATACATACAGGTTTTGATTATTTTTCTTCGACTTTTCTCAGAAATTATGAGGTATTATTTAATGTAGTATTTACAATTTAAATAATGATACTACTCATGCACTAGTGCAAACAAATCTGAATAAGGAAGTCTGTTTCTAGACATTGTTTTCATTTTAACAAACCAACGTGTTAGCAAAAGTACCAAGCTGATTTTCTGACATTGTTGACATTTATAATGAACATAAGACCCGGTTTAGAACCATTTACTGGTACGAACTACAACTGCTTCAGGTAGACAAGTTACTATTGAACTTTCACCCTGACTATGTCTGTGTAAAGCAGAAAATATTCAAATTATATTTGCTTGTGTTCATATGTAAATGTAATAATTGTAAAAGGACGCCAGAAGCATTTATCAAAAACAATTTCGATTTTATTCAACATATGTAGGTCATCTCTTGAAATCAAAGTTAATTTTGGCTTTATGAATAATGCAACTTGTTTTCCCATGCTCACAAAAACAATAGCAATATAACCTAAGAAAACATGTGTGAAAGACAAATACATGATATACGGACATAACAGAGTGATTGCTTTTCGAACATGTGCCATTGAATGTTAAACATGCAACAATTAATCAATTAATCAAATATGCGAGTGCTATAGACCATCAGACCACCGACCAATGTCAAATATTGGAATACACATGTATTTTCATTACTAGGACGTATGGTCTGTACACTACAATAAGGGGCCATAACATTTAAACTGATCAATCATAGAATAATATTTAGACAATAACAAAGAAGAAGATCATGATACGATATCCGATTATGTAGAATCTTAGTTAAGAAATCCAAAATACTGTCTGTATCTCACCAGATAATAAGACTTTAGAACATAGTGAGTCGTTCATCATGTTTATTTTTTCGTCGTCTTTCGTTTTTGCAGTGTAACAATAACAAGTTACAATACTTTAATTTAAGAGGGTTACACAGTTAACTCTATAATAAATCTTCCCTGAGGCCCTCATCATAGAAAAAGCATAAACAAAAATGCAAACCTATACATGGCATACATTAGTATACAATTCAAGTAAAATGATAATGTTCAATACAACTGCATAATATGTTATGAAAATGTACGACATTGGTAGTTTCGCACGAGTTGTGTGTTTTGAATGTTCCCTTAGTATCTTCTTTTTTTTGTATGTCGGTCGTGGTCGGAATTTTGTTATCATTAAATTTCACGTAATAGTCATTTTAAGCAGGTCTATTCGGTACACCTTGCAGTCTTTGATTTTGCCAACGCTCTTGGGATTGTTTCCAGATAGACTGGCTCCCATAATTTTGATAAGAAAGGACGTTTTGTCAGAAACGTAGCTGCAAGCTTTGCGGGGATTTGTATTTAAAAAAAATTGAAAGATATGGTACCTGAAAAAAATAGCTATAATTTACACAGACCTTCTATTTAAATATCGCATGCTTGACATTTTGATTTTGTTGGACTGCAGTGCTTTATTAACTATTTAAATCTTAATACTGACGAAAGCTTGATGTAAAAAAAAAATTGCCTCTTAGTATCAGCGAACACTTTTTTTTTCCAATATCAGTGGTGTTTGTTATCGCAATACATAACATTAAAATGAAATGTTGTCATTGAAAATTCTCCAAATACCATTTGAACAGATGATGTATTAAAAACACAAAAACACCGGATTTCAGGCTCATTGAATACAACAATAAACGACAAACACTGCATTACAGGCTCATATAAGTCAGCAACCAACAGTAACCTTGTGATTCTAGGTTAATTATAGACAACAAACAATGGCAACAACAGGATGGCAGACTTCTGAAAATTAGCTAACAATGGCAACCACTTAATAACTGGTGTTCGTAGGCGCACATCCCATTACCGCGGACAGAGGTGAAACAATCTTTTATTATATCAAATGGTTCAATAAGTTAAAAGGGATGTAACTCATGAGGGTATAAACCACAAAAACAAAAACAAAATGACAAATTACACAAGAGATTCAAGTGTTGTTATAATTACCGAATGACTGGATGGTTTAACTACTCTACTAAGCGACTATGTAAATTTTGTTTTTAAATCACAGTTTGAACATTTCAAAGTACATTTGTAATTAGATTGTTTAAAACAAAATCCAATGAGCAAAAAGGGATGATATCACATGCGCATTTGCAATTTTTTAATCTAGTTTATACTACATGTTCTATTGGCGGACTAAAAAAAATAACGGTAATTTATAATTTGATGATTGGTACGAATGTGAACTAAACTTGGCAAACTTTAATCAAGAAAAGCAAATTATTAACATGAATTTTCACTTACAAAAAAACAAAATATATTGTCATGTCTGTTGGTAGAAATAATTGGAATACACATGTATTTTCATTACTAGGACGTATGGTCTGTACACTACAATAAGGGGCCATAACATTTAAACTGATCAATCATAGAATAATATTTAGACAATAACAAAGAAGAAGATCATGATACGATATCCGATTATGTAGAATCTTAGTTAAGAAATCCAAAATACTGTCTGTATCTCACCAGATAATAAGACTTTAGAACATAGTGACTCGTTCATCATGTTTATTTTTTCGTCGTCTTTCGTTTTTGCAGTGTAACAATAACAAGTTACAATACTTTAATTTAAGAGGGTTACACAGTTAACTCTATAATAAATCTTCCCTGAGGCCCTCATCATAGAAAAAGCATAAACAAAAATGCAAACCTATACATGGCATACATTAGTATACAATTCAAGTAAAATGATAATGTTCAATACAACTGCATAATATGTTATGAAAATGTACGACATTGGTAGTTTCGCACGAGTTGTGTGTTTTGAATGTTCCCTTAGTATCTTCTTATTTTTGTATGTCGGTCGTAGTCGGAATTTTGTTATCATTAAATTTCACGTAATAGTCATTTTAAGCAGGTCTATTCGGTACACCTTGCAGTCTTTGATTTTGCCAACGCTCTTGGGATTGTTTCCAGATAGACTGGCTCCCATAATTTTGATAAGAAAGGACGTTTTGTCAGAAACGTAGCTGCAAGCTTTGCGGGGATTTGTATTTAAAAAAAATTGAAAGATATGGTACCTGAAAAAAATAGCTATAATTTACACAGACCTTCTATTTAATTATCGCATGCTTGACATTTTGATTTTGTTGGACTGCAGTGCTTTATTAACTATTTAAATCTTAATACTGACGAAAGCTTGATGTAAAAAAAAAAATTGCCTCTTAGTTTCAGCGAACACTTTTTTTTTCCAATATCAGTGGTGTTTGTTATCGCAATACATAACATTAAAATGAAATGTTGTCATTGAAAATTCTCCAAATACCATTTGAACAGATGATGTGTTAAAAAAACAAAAACACCGGATTTCAGGCTCATTGAATACAACAATAAACGACAAACACTGCATTACAGGCTCATATAAGTCAGCAACCAACAGTAACCTTGTGATTCTAGGTTAATTATAGACAACAAACAATGGCAACAACAGGATGGCAGACTTCTGAAAATTAGCTAACAATGGCAACCACTTAATAACTGGTGTTCGTAGGCGCACATCCCATTACCGCGGACAGAGGTGAGACAATCTTTTATTATATCAAATGGTTCAATAAGTTAAAAAGGGATGTAACTCATGAGGGTATAAACCACAAAAACAAAAACAAAATGACAAATTACACAAGAGATTCAAGTGTTGTTATAATTACCGAATGACTGGATGGTTTAACTACTCTACTAAGCGACTATGTAAATTTTGTTTTTAAATCACAGTTTGAACATTTCAAAGTACATTTGTAATTAGATTGTTTAAAACAAAATCCAATGAGCAAAAAGGGATGATATCACATGTGCATTTGCAATTTTTTAATCTAGTTTATACTACATGTTCTATTGGCGGACTAAAAAAAATAACGGTAATTTATAATTTGATGATTGGTACGAATGTGAACTAAACTTGGCAAACTTTAATCAAGAAAAGCAAATTATTAACATGAATTTTCACTTACAAAAAAACAAAATATATTGTCATGTCTGTTGGTAGAAATAATCATTACAAAATTAATGGAGAAAAACGTTTCATTCAATCAGACAAAGAAATATTGTAAGAGTGGAGATAACTCATGCTTTGCTAATGCAAAGTAATCTCTTATTTTCGATGGTGACATTTTAATCACTTCCTAATTTAAACATTGTTGTATTGTTTGGCAACTTTTAAAGATACTTAATTCTAGTTTTAGTTTGTTTTTGTCGTCTCCGTGGTGAAGAGTGACTGGCATGAATAATCATGATTCTGTACAAATGTGCTTTCAACTCTCCGAGTGCTATTTGATCTGCTTATACATCAGTCGACTTGAGCATTCGCCTTACATATCCCAGCATATCTGTATCATCCATAATGTCATATAAACTTTCCTCCATTTCGATATCTTTACTGTGTTGTGGTAGATGTAGCGAAGGGTTTTTAGATCGGGTCATTGCTGCTTTCTTCATTTTATCCACTATCTTGAATTTGTAGAAAAAGAAGCACAAAAATATCCCGGGAATCACGAACGACAGTGGTACTATATAATATGCAATTATTTCTCTCGACACCAATTCTGGAATGGTAACATAAAAAAACAGTTTATAATTTTTGCCGACGTCTTTTTAGAATTGATTGCAACTTAGTAATACAATAAAGCCAACACATTCCATTTGAAAAAGAAATGTTTGTTTCTCTAAGGTTATAAAATAGTTAATATAAATTGAACAATGATATACCACAACTTTGAAGTATTAAGTATCAAAAGGACATATACTGCTTAGGGGAATTATCTAGAATTCCAAACATTGATACTTTGACTATTTCCTTTTCGGAATATTATAAAAGATCGCCATAATAAAATTTAAGGAAGATTGGTTAACTAGATCACAATGCACATGAGCGTAGTATTTACATACAGATAAGGATGATGACAACGACGACAGAGGCATCATACCAAAATTATTTGCAATCTGGTGAAAATATTTACCATTTTTCGAATCTGTTTTTTCGCTTACGGTCGATATATATGTTCTGTCATCTTTAACTACAAAATTACAATTAAAAAGTAGTGCATCTTTTTATGAATCAAAGGAGTAATGGAGCATATCTCAACTAAAGGCTACACATGATAAAATCTAGTGGTTTATCGAAATGTACATGATGATGTATTGGTATGGCAAGTGACTATTATTTTGTAAGGTTTTAACCTTTTTTGTGCTGAAAACTAAAAAGATTTCTTGTTATTATTTTTACACTAATTGTACGTTAAACTAGATTTGTCTGTTCCCATTACTAACTAAATTATAAATCAAAGAAAAGTTCTTCTTTAACCATTCCTTTCGGCTTCTATCTAAACCAAACGCTAGGACGACAAAACAGCACCGAAAAACTGTGTATATAGGCATGAATGTCAAGACTATATTTTTAAGAAAGCTATTTAAAAGGTAAAATTGTATAAGTTAAAAAGCAAATTAATTAGTTAATTCCTGATTTTGTCTTAACAAATTTAAAAATTATAAGGTTTATGTCATTGAAATGACATGTAGGTTACTTACAAGTGGTTGCTGGCACTGAGGTACCAGTTGTCGACGACAAATCAACACAGCCTTCAACATGGTCACAACTACAAAATAATAAAATGTTGATCTCAGGCAATTATAACATTTGTTTTTACTTTTTACTTTACACTTAGAGATTTTAAGTATTTAAATGACTGTTTGTATCTTGATACATGTATTTTCATTAGATTGATCAATTCAATGTGAGGTAGACAACTAAACTGGGCACCAAAAAGGGATTGTCATATTGTATGCTTTCTTTGCTTTGTTAGTCCATATCGTATGTGTTTAAAAAGGTGAACATATTGCATACATTTCAAAGCCTGAGCAAGTGCATTCATCTCGACATCTTTCACCGAATGTGTTTCTCGGACAGGGCTGGCATCTTTGTCCCAAATAAGATGTGTATCCTTTGGAACAAGCTGTAAAATAAAACATATCAAAATATGACCATCCCTTACTTTTGTTATGAGTTTTATAAAGTTGACAACCATAGTCCCCATTTGGAAACCTTGTTTTTTTCGAGATTTCAAATTTAGATTCTATTTAAGTTTTATTACTGTGTTAAAAGATTGAAGTGCTTACCGTACTTTTCAATTAGTGCTATCAGTATCTAGAACGTGTTTTGCAGCGGGAAGAAAAATCACAATAAAACTCTAATATTTGTTGATTTAAATTGATAGAAGTCGATGTTTGCTTTTCTTTTTTGTCCTTTTGCTTCAATGCTGCATATAAGTGTTGTGTAATTGCCCTGTACTTCTAGGGGGTTTCCCCAGCCTGTCGTGTGGGTACTGGTACAGCACCGATGGATCAAAAGGGACACATGACACAATGGTACCAGTTGGGTATTCTCAGCCTCTACTTCAAGTGCATCTCTCTCTTACCGCGGAACGAGCAAGTCAAGGCGCCATAGATATAGGACCTGACGAGGTTACCAGGGATTGACACCTCTTAGCAGTTACATATACTTGTACGTTTAGTCAAATTTAAATCAGTCCATGAACATTTTTGAAATGATAGACGTGATTTGTTTCATTTTACTTTACGGTATTGGTTTCGCTAATTCTAGACTACGCGGTTGTTGTGTTCTGTGTTTTTAGGTGGGTGTTTTTTCAAGTTGTTAATCATTTCACAATTCCTTGTCTCTTTTTTAGACTTTAGGCTCATAGTTTCCATTTGTACTATTTTAAAGGTCATTCATCGTACTTACACTCTAAGAAACTGGTGCAAAATCAAAAAAGTGTAAGGTAAATTTTTACTGAATATAGTTTGAATTTCTTAACGTTGATTGATTCTATGAGGATTGCATGTTACATTAACGATGATGTTGATAGATGGCTGCTTAACGTCCAGCGGCAAATAGAATAAAATTGAGAATGGAAATGGGGAATGTGTCAAAGAGAAAACAACCCGACCAAAGAGCAGACAACAGTCTTAGGCCACCAATGGGTCTTCAACATAGCGAGAAAAGCCCGCATCCGGAGGCCGGCTTCAGCTGGGCCCTAAACAAAAATTGTGAATATTCAAAACGAGAACATGTTATTGTAATATGAATATGTACCCTGTTGATGAGTCGGATTTCTAACATGCTAGTTCACAAGCAAGGTAACAGGCAACAGGACGAAACCCTACCCAGACAGATCATTCCGACTCTTGAATGTCGCGTGCTTGGCGGAGAAGCAGCAAATACCATTTTAAAGTCTCTGGTTTGAACTGGCTGGGGCTCAAACCCGTGACCTCCCGCACTTGAGGCGATCAAGTTTCCAAGAGACCACAGATGCAATATTAATTAAACGATGTCGATGGTGTATTTCCTAATCAGGCAGTTTAATAACATATTTTTATTGGTAATACTAGTGTTAAAAATATGAATATTGTTTTTCATCAAGTCCGGATATCTAAAGTAGAAAAGTGAATTAAGTAAATGTTGGTTCAGTTATGTGTTGTCGATAAAGTAAACAAATGTTTCTGTCGTTTGATGTTTTTCTTTATAATGACATTAAACAAAACAAATAAAAAAATTAAAACCCAGATGTTTTGTATATGTCAACCAAAACAAAAACAATTACATAAATCTCAAAACGATACACCCGTTTGTTCCCTCATATTGGCATATAACAGCACACCTTAAGTCATGACATTCATTTATTTTTTCTTCAAAGAAAGATCTAGCCTAACATAACGAAGTGAAATAAACATATTTAAAATTTCCCGCAATTGCATATAATAAAATACCTTTCAGTCTTGGACTCACAGCTTTTACCCTTAGAGCGTTGTATAATCGTAGCTAATAAAACAAAACAAATGCGTTTAATCTTCATTATATCATGTATATTACTATAGCCAAAAAGGACAATAAAGGAAAACATGTAAATATTATTACATTTTTTCCGGAAATTGTATAATTATGTATTGTGGTTAAGTGGGTAGAGAACACTTAAGAAAGATAACTCTTACTCATAGTCTGTGTCATGGCAGCGTTTTAAAATCACTTTGACTTTAATGACCACTACAACTATATTCATAACTACATTGATATAGCAGCAGAGATTGAGGTTACTTATCCCCCTTATGGGGAACCACAGTCCTAGGTTGTGGGGAGAATAATAGTATAACTAGACCTGCTTTCTTCAGACATGTGCTGTTGTATTTGCAAGTCCCCTTTCCACCTATCAGCAGGAGAAATGTTAGTTGGGCGTACCGGCGTTTTAATGACCTCCATTACTCTTAGAAAGGAAATAATTGGCTCACGAAAGAGAAATAACTTCGTGCGGTCTATATTAAATCCAAAAAGAATTCATGTGCTGTCTTAAAACTTCTATGAAATTATCAGAATGACTCCAATCAGAAATCTGAGTACCTTATTGTTATAGTTAGTCTAACTCTATTACGGTTTTGTTCAATACTGCTCGTGGTTATATCAATAGAAAGTAAGAATGCCTAACAATAAAAATATAACCAAATAAATATATAAACCAAGGACAATTCTGCTTCTATTCGAACCAAATTGATTCCACGATACTTTTTTTTTTAAACTGTATATTTGAATGAAATACACTTAGTAATGTAAAATTGTAGGTTACGAATAATTTATATAAGACATGTGCATTTGTGTGTTGAAAAACGCTGGCATGTTCATTTTTTATGCAATTGAACATTTAAGGACATGATTTTTAATCATATAAACAAGTAAGAAGATACCAAGGGGATAATCAACCACTAGTGCATCATTTACAAGTCGAGGAACAAAGACAACAAAAAAAACCATCAGATTCAGTCCACAAAACATTACACAAAAACTAAGAATTGAGCACTCTAAAATTTATCTCAATTAGAAACAACTATGTTATTTAACTCTGAGTTTTCAACCTGTATCCTGACAGGTGTAGAAAATAAACAGGTGTCTTCTATTCCGTCCGCAATTTTTTGAGAAAAGTAAAATCTAAATTTAGAACCATGGTTGAAAATGAAACTACACATGTATGATAAAAATAGAATATGTTATTTTTGCTTTATCAAATTCCAATTTCGAAGGGATAGCGAAATTAGTTTTCTTCTATTGTGCTTTTGTGTATCTTTCAGAAGTAGTGAATGCAATTTTTAAGTAAATCTTTTTTTCTCAAGTCTCATTTCAATATTATGACTGAATAGAGTAAAAGGGGGCCAAAAAATAACGTGACACTTGTAACTGCAATTTGATATTTGGAGGAATGAGAGATGAAATGAGTTAAGACCCTTACATTTTGATAGCATTTAAAAGACTGATTTGTTTTAATCTAAAAGCCAGTTGTATCCAATTTTCATAGCCTCTGCAGACATACTATCAAATTGTTATGTTTAACAAACTTGACTATACATATTAAACAATCTTGCACGGTCAGCTCTATGCTATTACCTAGTTCCAATTTTCAGGAGCTGTGGTTCTTTGCAAGAATGGATTCGTTGTTCTTTTGTGAATCGTAAATATTTTTTTTTTAAATCTGTGGACCAACAAAATAGAAAATCTTGATAATGTAAAAATATCTGCCGATTTTTAAGATTTTTCCTATGTATCCTTTGTATTTTTTGCGTCTCATGCTGTTAATTTTAATAGCTCGTATTTCAAAAACGAAAACGGTTACTCCTTTTTTTTATTTTTTATTTGGTGTACTTTTACAAGCAGAATCCATGTGAAATTAAAGAAATATTATGTGGAGTAGTGAAGTACACTTCGCCTTAATAGAATCAAGGACTTTTTTATATAACTACATGTACTTTTTGTCTTGATCATGTTGATAACAGATACTTTATGTATTTCATATGCATTGAATTTGTTGATATGTCATAATGTGTGTTTATATTGTTCCATGGTCGATTTGAATAGTTCAATAGAGCTTGTGTAATATGTATTTGTTGACTCTAAACGAAACTTTGAACTCAATTGAATTGAATTAACAAACCAAATATATCAGACCTAGGTCAAAAGACAAGTGTTTATTTCCAAAAATACAGTTATCGTCCTCGAAGTCAAAGTTCAAGGTCACATAAAGTTCATAATTGTACGGGGTACACAACATCATGATGATACATCCACATGCCAAAGATGAAAGGCCTAGGTCAAAAGACGAAGAAGTTATGGTCTGGTCGTGTTTCTTCCGATTAAATACGTAATGTTGACCTTTAGGTCAACTTTGAAGGTCACATGAAGGTCATAATGTTATATGACACTTAACCTCATGACGATTCATACACATGTTAAATATCTAAGGCCTAGATCAAAAGACAAAAAAGTTATGGCCATTATGTACTCTCAGAATGGACTTTGCTCTTATTTATTGATCCAATTTGAGGGTGGGGGCATTTTTTAAACCTTAATAGAAAAAAATCTAGTGGTTAAATTTTTATAAATTTTTGCAAGAATAACAGACTTATATAGCACTACAAATAGTTAGTTTTTTGAAAAAATTAAACGACACATTTTGTTTTTTAAAAAAAAATTCTTATATTCTCATATTCAATTTTGGGGGCTGAATCTGATACCCCACTTTTTTAGTTCGAACAAACATTTATATCCAGAATTAAAAACTTACAAGTAAAGGGTATCGGTGAACTAAAATTCGTCTCAGTTGTCACTATAAACTATGCTATTGTCAATTTAGGATTATTTTTTTTAAATATTAACATACATACCCCTATACCTATATTTCTGAAACTTCCAAGCTTGGCCGATATAAGCATGTACAAGATGCCATATTTGAGTTGCCAAATATTTAAAACTAATGGTTCAAATCTTTTGAAATTTTTACAAGATGTTTATCTAGGCCTGGTTTATCAACGAGAGAAAAACAAGAAAAATTAAACGACAGTTTTTTTTTAGGGTAAAGTGGTGTGTACCCCCTTAATGTAAAAATCAGCAAATGCGTCAGAAAAGAATTTAAGCATTGTTGA